TTAATATAAAATCATGTAGGTATCCAAAAATTATGAAATTAATTTTGTTAAGTTTCTAAAATTGTGCTCTATCTATTAGTGTATTTAGTTTATATATATACTTGTTGATACCAGGAGCTATTAAATCATTTGAGAGTGCTTAATATTATTAGGTTAAATATTGTAGAAATTTTTGTGGCAAAATGATGATAGCTTTAGCTTTGAAAATTTTACAGTAGCTTCATGGTATTATTATGTGCTCACTGTAATGTTTGTAGCTTTAGAATAAACTTAACATAAGGGTAGTTAAATACTCTTTGTTTCAAATATACATTAAATCATTAGTAGAAATAGAGATATATCCTTCATTTGTAAAGCTAGGTGTTTGTTAGTTGAACCCAACACTTTACTTCATGAAGATGATAGTTAGTTTAGTATCTTAGTCATTAGAGCTAGCTTAGTAGTTTACCATGTGCATTCTTATTTTAAAAGTTGTTGTTACCAAAATGCTAAGTGTTGCATCATCATCGCATGCATGTAGAGAACAAGTTGGCAGAGATCGTGACCATCGAAGATCACAAGTTCGAGGAGGTGATCGAGGAGTACGAGGAGGAGATCCTCGTGTAGGAGGAGGTCCCGGAGCCGCCACTAATTGACTAAGCTGACACCGCGCCTACTCAAGACAAGCCCCGATGCATAACCTTTATTTTGAATAATCGTAGGATATATATATGTTATGTGCATTTATGTTACAGACTTATTGTTGAAACTACATGCATAGATAAACCTACCTATGAGTCCTACTAACATAGATCGAGTAGCTGCTATGCTTAGGCTATCGGTAACGTGAGTAACCTACCGTTACTCATAATAGGTGGTTATTATTATTACTCTCATGATAAAATAGTGAAAGGAAATGGAGACCGGACAGGGATATAGTACGGGTATTAGTGGGTGTAACAGGCTATGTCCCACGGCCAACGGGACATAACTTGGTTACACTATTTTCTCTATCTGTGTCGGTTAAGGACCGACCGTTGCATTAGATTCTAGTCAGGTTACAGACTTATTATCCTAAGCACATACTTACTTATGGGAGTGGAATGCTCGTTGCTCTCTTGTCATGGGTTCTGGCTCTTTTCGGACCGACTAATTGGAGGCGGGGATGGTGGAGGTCTAAGCACCACACTGAGTTTGAGACTCAGGTGTAGGGGCTTGGAGTCCAAGTTTGGACGGGGACCTGGACCGCCTTGACAGGAGAGTGGTGGGTTGGTCCTGCTTATGCCTGGGTACAAGCGGGGCGTGTGTTTCGGGGTACCTAGCTTGGCTATATTGGTTCACGAATCACCGTGTAATACGGTATAACTTGTCTACGATCTAACATCGTAGTAAAAACTGGAAGATGAAAGATTGTGAAATAGATCTGATTGTTCAACTCTTACTTGAAAGTAGAACATGTGCTTATATAGAATGGTTAGCTAATGATCTAATCATGACTACCAATAAAACACATACATAAGGATTCACTACTAGTAATGCTTTTTCGCAAAAAGGAAACCCAGCAAACCATGGGTCATGTTCGGCTTACCCTATATCCGGCTTGTTTGGCTTCTTTTTTTCAGACGGAACAGTGTTTTTCTCTCACAATATTTTAGCCAGAACAGTATTTTAGCCAATTTCAGCCAAGATTTAGCAAGCCGAACGGAGCTCATAAAGCCTATCATAATCTTTGGAGTCAGAAAATTATTCCCACTAGTCGGGTAATTCTTGCGAGTATATTGTGTACTCAGGGTTTATTTACCCCATGTTGTAGATGCAGCTTGAGGAGTAGCTATTGTGTGGAGGATTCTTCTGGTGGGCATAGACAGATTCTTGTATCTTATCGTTAGATGTTTATTTTAATTCTGCTGTTTAAATTCCACACTATAAACTTGGTATTGTAATAATGTATTTTTAAGAACTCTTGTTGTATGAAATGGACTAAGTATTGTAAACTCGTCCTCATTATTGGATCCTGGAGGAAAAACATGGATTGTTTGAGTCCTCCCTTGGGGTGTGCTCGACGGAACCGTCCGATGTAGCCAGCTTTCAGGGTGCTTAGGATCTGGTGGAAGACGAGCGCCTCCGAAAGCGTGTTATTCTGAACGGTTCTGCCACAGTGGGCCTAGACAAAGAAACGCCTATGTAAACCCATTTACACTGGTGGTTCCTATAAGAAAATCGCCATTGTTAATGGACTATTTACACTACATTTACGCGGGCGGCTCTCTTACGCAAACATGCAGTGTAAATAGACCGTCAATACTAGCGGTTCGCTTATGTGAACCCCCAGTGCATTTGTTTTCTAGTGGCGGTTTATTGAAAGAACCATCGCCAGACTTATCTCTTGACGGTTGGGATATCAATATATCATCCATGGAAAAAAGAAAGAAAGAAAAGAAAACAGTCTAGCGTTTGTGTGAAAAATTGAAGTTTTTTTGGCTCAAAGTAAAGTATTATAGCACACTTTTAAACTTAGCCACCAAATTTCACAACATATATTTTTTTGAATGAAAACGTTAGGAGCTTTGCCATTCAAATAAGTAGAAGACAAGTTTAATATAAGATGAAACATAGCCATCCAAACATAGTCCTACGACAAATTCACACTTACTGGCAATCAACAATAGAACAACCATGTGTTATTTGTACGGATCTTATGGTAGAAGCGGCCAAGCAACTCCTACTTTCCTTCAGCCAAAGCCACCATATGTCTCCACCTCTTATATAACCATATGTCTCCACCTCTTATATACAGCTAGCATCCATAGACCTAGATAGGGACCACAGAATCACCATCAATCTAAGTATCATCGTGCCCCAACAACGAGCAGCTCTAACTTCACCTCGCAATCTCATGTCTGGAATATGAGCGCTTCTAGAATATTGACGGTTCGCCAAAAATAATAAGAGACGCCAAGGAGTCATATGCCTCAAGACAGAGCCGACCATACACTATTGTTTTTTTTATGAAAGACCATACACTATTGTTGCCGAGCTTTAACATCGTAGTAGGCAAGCAGCTCCGACTTCCCATGGTAGACCTTGGTTAGTGCCATCAAGCATCCATTGCCTGTGCACAACTAGCACCCACATATCTTGAGAGGCCATAATGTATCATTGTTGTCAGGCTTCGCTATGCCCAAGAATTAATGAAGCAGCTTCGACTTCACCACTACAAGCTTAGACCAGGAGTGATTGCATGCCGAAAACAAACAATAGCATGAGGAGGCAAAAACGTCAACCATACCTAGATAGGGCAGGTAATAAGAAGAACAAAGAGATGAACTCATTGGTCTGTAGTTGCACCTCCAATAAAAACGCCTCTAAGAAGGGAGTGACGCTGAGGTGCCACTGTCGCTTGTCTAAGAAACCAGACAACATATTCACTCAGAGAAGTGAAAGGTAGGGAGGGAAGCCACTCGATGATGCCCCAATGGGAAAATGGCGCCCTAGGCGTGTTGTCGTCTGGACCGATAACACGTTGGGCAAGGCTTTCACCCAGATATCCCCAAGTCACACAAGCCTCGCGGCCACCCACGTAGTGCACCAGCACTGCAAGCGGTAGTTATTATCTCAAAAACCCGTGCTCACCCGACTACCCTCTGAAAGGCATGGTGGTCCAACCATGCAGCAAAGACACCATCTGTCACCCACACGTGCCCCTTTTTTACTTGTCGCCGCCACCTAGTCTGCCGTCCCTCCGCACAAACCTCACAAAAGAGGAGGCACCAACAAGGAAAGCACCCATATAGCATAGATCTACCATTCCTGTCACCTGATTTGGTTGAAAGACTTGAAAAGACAAAGGTGACTGGGCCCGACTGTGCTGCCACCAAGTGAAGGAGGCATCCTTGAGAAAACAACCGTCCCACTGCCATCCTTGCGACTATGCATGCAAGGGGCGGTGCACTCGGTCAACAGCGAGGCATGGGAGAGGAGGGGGAAGGGAGGTTGGAGGTGGCAGCATCGGCATCACCATCTGTAAATCATCTTCCAAGGTTGCATACATCAAACCTTCAAAGATTTAATGCTCTTATTGATGCATAGGTTTTCAACCATACTTAGCTCTCACCGTCCACACTTCACCGTCTTTAAGTCTAATAATCTCATCTCACATTACTAAACCCTACACATGGGCCAGCACTCCACTTGTTAGCCAAATCCCCTATAGGTGTCTTACTGTCCCATGTCCACACGGAGCTCCACAAGACCACAAGTGCCACCATTCGACCTCACCTCTTGCATAGTCAAGGCTTTTCCTTGGATGAGTATGATTCCATGGCGGTGAGTGCGTGATGGGCTGTTGATTGTTCGTCTTGTCTCTTTTTGGTGGATACTTTGCCACCACGGCTTCATCTTTGTTGTCGGCAGCCTTTGTGTTGATGTGTTCTTTCTTTCGCAGGTCCAGTCGGTTAGGATCGATTTGAGGCGGAGGGTCCCTCTCTCACTGTCTTTCTTCTGTTGCGTGGTTCCTCTAGGTTGCTAACCACTTTCTCTGTGGTTTTGTAATCTGCGCTACGGTGTCTCTCGTAGCCACATCGTGTTGTATTTTGCAACTCTTCCTCTTAATGAAACACGCATCAACGGACGTGTTTTCGAAAAGAAAAAAATTCCATGGCGGTGGCATGGAAATAGGACGTAGGTGGATTTTAGCCTTCGTCTAAGGCCCGAAATCCTCATTGGCAATCCTAGCTATAAGATTCGCAAATCCCTAGCACCATCTTTCTGGAGAAGCATATTCTTGCAGAAAATGGAGGGGTGGGGAACTTAGGATTCTCCCTGGAATTGGAGACTAGCCAGTGCCGAGTGTGAGTATTGAGTGAAAGAAAAAATAGGACGAGGCGAGGGAAAAAAAAACAAAGTATCATTCTGTTTACAAAAGATAGTAAAAACGGTTATTATGAGGCATCAGCAACAGTGATTCTATAGCCCTATGAGCATACTACTGGAATAATGAATTGATATAGAATCAGAAGAAATCAGAACTGCTTCATCAAGATCAGCATGTGCGAGAGCAGATCAACCTCGTAAGGGCAGAACTCGGGCTCCGGGTTCAGTTCCCATTCCCTGGCGTCGAGCTTGCTCACCTCCATGGTGTCCAGACAGAACAGCAAAGGGCTCATCGTCCCATCGCGCGGCCGCAAAAAGAGTGTGCCGCTCCCCTCGCAGAACCACGAGAGCTCTGCGCCGCGCAACCATCGGCTGCTAAAATCCATCCGCCGTGGAATGGTCTCCTCCTGGATACGATGCCACAATTTCCAGTCCCTGGCGGATCCGGCGCCGCTTTTTTCACAGGCCCACACCTCAATCTCGCCAGCTTCTATGACGATCAAGCCCAGCAATGCCTGTGACTGTGACCCCGCACCCGCAGCGTCGGCCGGCGACGGCAGCACCGCGAGGCACTGATGCTCCCGGCGCCCGAGACTGTACCCCGGCGGGGGATCGGCAATACAAGCCTCGCGAGCTACATCTCCTCGCCACCGCCACATGAGGATGCGGTCCCTCAGTCTCGAGGTGCACAGCCAGTAGACGGTGTCACCCACGACGACGGGCCTGGGACGCCCTGTGTTCCCGTCGCTGCAACCGAACCTGAACCGCGACTCGCGGAACCTGCTGGTGATGGGGCAGGCCAACGCAGGTCCCCACCCGCCTCCGCCCTCCTCGGAGTCGGAGGAGAAGATCTGCACGTAGAGCGTGCGAGGGTTGTTGTTCGACAGCTCCGCGACGAGCAGCTTGAACGATGACGGGGCGACGATCGGGTCCACGTCGAGGAGGGCGTGGGACATGTCTTGCACGTCGTGCGGCGGGAGCACGCGCCGCTCCCCCGTGGTCGGGTTGCACACGGACAGCTCGACGGGGTGCAGGCCGTGGCGCTCGATCAGGTGCTCCCTCGCTGTGCTCTTGCACCGCCGCCGGAGGACCAGGAGGGAGCGGCGAGATGCCACGGGCAGGTAGGGCCCGAAGTCGCACGCGCTGTCGCCGTCGCCGGCGTCGTCGTCGTCGCGGTTCGGCGCAGACGGGAGCGCGGCCAATGATGGGGGCAGCTTCGCGCCGTCGGAATAAGAATAAGCTGGGACGAACGACGGCTGGAGGTGCGGATCGCCGCTCTGGTGGTACAGGCCGAGGAGGAGCGTCGGCATGAACGGACGGCCGTCGTCGACATGTTCCCCGCCATTGTTGAGGAAGCCGCGGAGGTGCCGGAGGAAGGGCGCGTGGAGGATTCCCCGGCGTAGGGACTTGGAGGTGGCGGCGCAGCGGATGGCGTCGCCAATGGTGCCGCACCTGGCGGCGATCTCGAGCACGAGATCGTCGGGCAGCAGCTGATTTGGTTCAATCTCCGCCTCCGTATCCATGTTCATCGGATTCTTCTTTGGAGTAGGTTCCATCTCTCCGTCGTGATTATCGGAGGAGGAGGCGGCGTGGGCTATGTATGTATATTGCGTAGAACATGGCCGGAGGCCGCGAACTGTTCGGCACGTAGTACGCACGAGTCCGGTACGGAGCGAGGAGCCAGGAGCGTGTTGATTCGATTCGAGCGGGGATACGTGCCGCCGTCGAGACTAGAGAGCCGTTAAACGTCACACACGGCTGATATCCGGATTTTGTTTCTGATACGGATTTCAAAATGTAATTGGCAGTTACTTAAAAAATGGATTGATTAAAATCGATACGGCATGATGAGGTTTATACACGGCTTATATCCGGATTTTTTTTCTTCGTCGGCAGCCATGCATGATGAGGTTTCAAAAATGTACTTGACATTTTGTTTCTGATACGGATTTCAAAATGAAAAAAATGGATTGATAAGAATCGATACGTTTATTATCTTTGTCGGCAGCCCATGAGGTGCTTCAAATATTGTATTGACGTTTATAGAAAAAATGGATTGACATGAATCAACATCGGGCACCCGCAACAAGTGATTCATAAACTAGCTCTAAGCATTTTTTTATATTTTAATATAAGAGGAGAAAAGCGGTTCATACACACATTCCAAGAACAATGTGAGAGTGTCATGTGGGCCTAATCATACTATGAGTCATTGCTAAAAGCTAACACTATTGGAGATGTTGGCTTAGAACTAGTAGCTGACTCTTACGGTTGAGGGTGCCCTTAGAATCTTCAACAATCTTTCTTAAATGCACTCTCTAAATCCTAGTGAAGAGCCATATTTAATAAAAAATCGTTCTATTCATCCTTCACTTTCAATCCTAAGCTTGTGGCAGATTTGGAAGTAAAGAAACGCAGTAGTTTGCAACGGCAATAGAAGGTATGAGCAGACGGTCTTCACAAGGATAAAGGATGAATGTTCCATGTGGGTCTCGGCTCGAAGAAGAAACCTAGGACCTTTAAGGATTGCTCATCATTTAGCGAGTAATTAGCTTTTGTTCCGTACATCCTCACGGGGCGGTCTACCAAGTGAGTAAGCGCTCCTCGCGTATGTAACTCTATTTCTTGCTTATTAATACAAAGCAGGACAACCGGATCTTTCAAAAAAAAAAACTTTTCATCCTCTAAAAGCTTGTCCATATATATTACCATCTAACAATTTGTCCATATCTTGTGCGTACTTCAAAAAACCAGTAATCCAGTCTCCCTCTCTATTTTTAACAAGAAATCATAAATATAAGAAAATAATATATATTTGGAATCTAATTAAAGAAGTTGTTAGAAAGTTCTCGGAGTTGCTTTTATGGGGTAGCTCATATGACTACTTCCTTATCTTTGGGTGCATGCAACTGATGAATTGATCTATTGCTTTCAGTGGCGTAGCTTGGTCATGAATGGAGAGGGGCCCAATATGATGTAAAATACTAAAATACAAGAAGGGGAGGACATACTAATATTTCATTAGTAACTAAAGCAGTAAAACTAAGACTTTCATTAAGAATTGATTTAGCTTAGGCAGGCCATGACCCACTATGGCCCTCGCTAAGCTCTACCAGTGATTGCTTTTTATCTAAGAAAATAGGGTTTTTTGGAAAGGTGTCATTACAATTCTTGAAGATTGGAAATATACCATTACAATTCGTCTAATCGCAAGCGTGCCATTATAATTTTGCGATACTTTGAAATCTGCCATTGTGTACGCCCGACGAACACTTGGGCCCGCTTGCAGGTCCGCGGGGCATATGGCGGACCGTATTCGTCCGTCGGCCGTCTTCATGTAAACTGCGCTGTGAACATCGCCGTCTCAACCCCTCTCTCTCTCTTGCGTGCTCCCTGTCTCTTTCCTCGGCCAAGAACCCTAGGGTATGCTCCCGGCGGCGACTTCGGCGGCGGCGGCGGCGACCACCCGACAGCGACGTAGCAGTCCAAGGCGACGGCGCAAGGGGGCGACTCGACCGCAGGCAAGGATGAGCTTGAGCTCCACCGCTGCTGGCACTCGAAGGATGCAGTACCCCCTACTGGACTGTCCCGAATGCCATGTTCCTCTAATCAGAATCGTGAGCAAGCAAGAGCGCTCGAAGGATGTCCCATTTGTCAAGTGCCCGAACAACATAAAGGTAGGCTTTGTTGTGTTAATTGAATCTTCATTGTTTGGTTTCTATTTGACTGATTTAGGGTGCGCAGGGCGATCCAACAACTTGTGGCTGGATCCGTTCGGAGGAGCAGTACGAGGCCTGGTTTCTGAATCAACAAAAGGAGCAGCAGATGCAGGTCCAGTTGCCCCTTCGTCATCAAGTTGGGGATGGTATTGGTGATTTCAAGCAACAGCTCCGTGAGATGAGGCAAACACTGGACATTGTTGTTCAAGACATTTGGAAACTGAAAGCGCAAATTGGAGACATGCATTCTGTTGTTCGTAGTCCAGTTAGTAAAGCAACACAGGACATGGGTAATAAGAAAATGCAGATTGTGTTAGATGTATCTGTTGTAGTAGGTGTCCTTGTTGGTGTACTGGTAGGTGTAGTTGTTGCCCAGATGATGAAGTGACTGTAATGAAATTGATCAGCATTGTGCTATGTTTTTTATGAAATTATGTAAGAATTCCAGCAGCATCTTGTCTTGATTTTGGATGAGGAGAACAAGGGCTAGCAACATTCAGAGTAAAGTAGATCAAAGCACACAGACCACAGCCACATGACAGTAGTGAAAATACAATAGAGTTCAAACATCATTTCATAACCAAGTTGGCACTAAATATCCATACGCAGTATAGTAACAGCAGCAACTTAGAAAGTTGGCAAGTTCAAATGCCTCAATACATAGTAGAGTTTACTAGCTAAGCAACAGAAGTGCCACATTACATATTAGTAGTTCATAATCATTACAGAATGATCATAAGATGGCTATAGAGTTCACAAAAGATGTCCCATGCTATCCATCAAGCATTGCAGATTGTGGCTACTTAGTACCACTTGCTTGTGGAGCAACAAAGACCAGCTGCCTGATGCTGCTAACAACAGTTGTTGGTGGTGCAGCTGTTGCCTTCTGTAGATTTTTTTTGATAGGTGTCTTCTTCTTCTTCTTAGGATTAGTCTTCTTCTGAGTCTTCTTCTTCTTCACCTGGGAAGGTCCAGCGACATCTTTAGTTGTCCTCTTCCTGCAGTGGAATCACAGGAGTAGATTGGTAATAGGAAAATATAATTTGAAGCAAAATGGCAACACACGAGTAGTTTGAATACCTTTTTGAAGACCCTTGTCCTATTTCTCCATCCTCCCCTAGTTCTGGGAACTTGCAGGTCTTGGGAAAGTGCCCAAAACCACCACATCTCTTACACCTGACCTTCTTTTGAGTGGCCCTCTTCTCCAAACTCCCTCTAATTCTGACAACCCTTGGTTTGCCTGCACCTCTGCCTAGTAATGAAGGGTACACTTTGAAGCCAAGGTCGACAATAGGCCACTGTGACCTGTCTGGGATAGGCTCAACCCTGTCTTGGTAGGCTGCCTTAAATCTAGCAACAGAATAGTAGTCGTGTACATAATCCTGAATCCTTATCCCTCTGTTTGAAAGTATCCAGGCCAAAGCATGCTTGCAGGGCTTTCTAGTCACCTGCCATTCCCTACAAGAACAATTACAGTTCTGTAGGTCCACAGTGTGCCTCTTATGATTGTTCTAGTCATCCAAGAGAGTCACTTCAGCAATGTCATCGTCACTGACTTTGACCTTGACCACTTTGAGATGATTGCTGATCAGGTTAAGATCCTTTATCACACCTGGTAGGATTCCATCCTCCCACTGCCTAGCAATCTTCTTCCTGAAATATCTCTTCTCCATTATTAGCTCTCTAATTCTATCTACCAGCTCATGTACAAATAAACCTTTGAGGTGCTTCACCTGTGCATTGAAGCTTTCTGACACATTGTTGGTCCAATAATCACACTTGTTGTTTTCTGAGAACCCACACCTATACCATATCCTGCTGTGGTGAGTCTGAAGATACTCTATACTTTGAGGAGCAAACTCAGCAATCTTGTGCATGTGGAACTTGAATAGGCCTTCAGTGTAGCTTCTAGCAGCAGGATATAGGTGGTCTGTGATTGCATCACCAGAATAGTGCTTCAAAAAGTTTTGGTACAAATGTCTCATGCATTCCCTATTCTCAGCATTTGGAAACACTGCACCCACTGGTTTCTCTAGGCCTTTGCATGCATCTGAACAAATTACAAGATTTGGTACATCACCAATTGCTCTGGAAAGTTGTTGCAAGAACCACTTTCAGTTATCTTCAGTTTCTGAGTCAAAAATGCCATAAGCTATATGATACAACTAGTTATGTCCATCTACACTGGTTGCTGAGGCTAGCTGACCTCTGTACTTACCATGCAGACTAGATGCATCTATACCCACAATTGGTCTGCATCCAGCCAGAAAACCATCCACACAAGGCTTAAGAGAAACAAACATTCTCCTAAATCTTTGCTTTTTACCAATCTTATCAAGCTCTATCTCTATTAGGCTACCAGGAGAGACCTGTTCAATCTGAGCAGCCCAATTGAATAGCAACTGAAAACTTTCCTCATATCTACCATGGATTTGATCTATTGCTAACTTCATACCTGACCAAGCCTTTGAATACTTCAGCTTGATGCCATAATCATCTTCCAACTTCTCCTTGCAATCCTTTGCACGTTTTGTTGGATTTTTCTTGAGCCAATCTCCCAACCTGTTTGCACACCAATCCTGTGATGCCATCTTTCCTACTACCAGTTTTGTAGTTGGACAGTCGTGATCTGATGGAAGTACTTTGATCTGCACATAGAAAACAAGTCAGGTCAAGCAAATAGAAATGTACAAAGAAAACAAGTCAGGTCAAGCAAATAGAAATGCACAAATAAACTAGTGCATGGTCAGTTACCTGTATTGTCTTTTTATCATGTAGCCTAGATGCATGTATGTGCCAAGGACATCGCTTAGCCTTGCACCTTGCAATATACCTTG